CCGCAAAATATCAGCTTCTGTAGGTACACTTAAGGCTTCCCACGATGGTCCAAAAGTTTGGATTTGCCAAGGCCCGAAAATTTAAAATAAGAACAAGAAAACAAACATCCAAATGAGATGTAGCACTTACCTGGCCAAAGTGCGCAGCCATATGTCGCGATGCGAATTTGGCCTCCACCGGATTTTAATATAAACCAGGCCAACGATGAACATCAGCAGCAACACCAGCAATATCACCAGACCGATATTCAGCACCGTTGGTCGAAAGATCTGAAATTTTTTTCAGTTAAGAAGATACCTAAAGAAAAAATTAGCAACATCCTGAAGTTCGGAGAGAAAAAGCATACGAGCCGCCCAGTGAGCCAACGATTAATGAGAAAAATGCTCAATTTTTAACAAAACTAAAGAGGCATGCCAAGAGATATGCCAATTTAACAAAGTTGAAGACGGCTAAAATGATAGTCGGAAGCACTAATTCAACTGCTTAGATACATATTAAACCATAACTGTACGTATGATAAAAGTCTTTCTGAAGAATAAACTTTCCGAAATTGTCTTATTTCGACTACAGCAATTAACATTAGTAAGCATGGTAAATCAATTTACCCCACTGCGATAACATCACTGCCAACAAAGATTCAGGATAACTAGTTAAACAACTCACAGTTTAAGCCACCATAACACCACCCAAATTTAGCAACCTGCAGACGCAAAGTGTAATGCGGCTCGAGATCAACGTATTCAAAAGAGATTCGGATCACGGAACCACTGCGTGATGCCTCATTCAGCTGTTTTTTCAAACGTTTCGTTTCCAGATCATCCAGAACCACCACTGGGATGCGACCACGCTGTTTCTAAAATACACAGCTACCTTCAGCGAAAGAACTAGCTATTCTTAAAATACAATACACACAGAAACAAAAAAATACTTAAAATACACAGAAAGATATCTAAAAATGAAGTGGGACCATCACGGGGGAAAAAACAGATTTACAAAAGCAAGGAATCGCTAATTTCACCTCTGTTTTCCAGCTGGAACTAAATGCATTCCTCTTCAACTCTTCCTCACAATGGCCAAAGAAAACTGACCTTGTCAATCTGCGCCACCACTCGACTCTCTGGTCCAACAACAAGGCCCAACGCGCCGGACTTTTCGGCGAAACGAACCTGAAAAAGATGCTTTGTA